TGGATGATGTAAGACTGCATGACAAGTTGTGTCATTTGGGAATCCCCCATATGACGTACAAGTCTGTCACATCTCTGTCTGCTTCATCTCCTCTTTCCCAGTGCAATTTGTATGACTGCTATGTGTTGCTATTTTTAATGCAACACCATTTTCAGTCTTTCTTGAAGACCCCCTCTTGGTGAAAATCTAATTTTTCTTTTAACTTTGTAAACAGTTCCAATGTGGGGTTTCTTAAATGCTGGAAGACACATTGTGAGCGAAATAAGCAGTCATTGCTAAGCATTTCCACTTCTGCAGAGGACAGATGACAGCCTCAGAAACATACATTTAGACTTCCAGGGTTACAGAGGCTACAAACATAAGGAGTCTGATGCATTTCAGGGGTTTAGGCAATGACTGAAGAGGGAGTTTAATACATAAATCACACATTGCATGTACACCAGAAGAGCTATTGGTCACCTTCATCATTTTAATGGCAGTATACAGAAACCAGCATCTCTGGATACCATGTCTGAGATCTAAATTCCAACACAAGACTTTCTCTCTTTTAAATCTGTATAATAGCTACTTTATAGCTTTTAAAAAGACAATATTATGCACCAGGGCCAATGACCCTGACTGTGACTGAATTCATGGTACTTAAAGCACAAACACTGACACTTACAGAGACACTGGTGAAAACTCTCAAGGTAGTGACGGTGCATGGGTAATAATAATATTAATTAACTATATGTCTATGACACCTCTGAACACAATGAATTTTAAGTGGCCTTAAAAAATTGCAACAATAAAACAGAAAAAAATGACAAAGACTGAGCAAAGGCATTAAGACATTAGAAAAGAAGTTGTAAAATATAACATTAATGCCAATTTGTGCAGGTGAGCTTTCACATTTTTTTTAAACTCAGGCACTGATTAACTATAAGGGGGAGCTTGCTTCACAGAGCTGAGGCTAAGACAGTAAAAGCATGTTACGTCTTGGGATGCAGACCTTATACGAAGATATCAGGTGACCGATCCACATTAATGCTTCATACAGTAAAATTCAATGTTTCTTCGTTCAGCCACAGCTGACTCAGCAGTACAGCTATCTCATGTTACCCTACATAGACATTGTTTCAGTGACTTCCACACAGGGAAGCATGCACATGATAAATTTGGAGGAAAGAGAGCACTGGTATGAGAACGATATTGGATGCTCTGTGTTGAGCAATTGGAATTATAATTGTAATTAAGGAGAGGAATTGTTGGACTAGTGCTGCTTTGACGCTCTCATAGGCTATCAGATATCTTTGAGCTACCTAGTGAGTGTGTTTACATGTGTACTGGTATTCTGGTTTTAAATATCATTTGGGATGTTCATATTCCTGCCTACCTAGTTTCTGATCACGTGTTACAGTTTGTCTTTGTCTCATAACCAACAAAGCTTGTGTAGAAATCAGGATAAGGTGTCACAGTATCCTGGGTTAGGCTCAATAACCACCAGGATACTAGCACACACTCTCTTGGAAAAATTCTGTACAGGTGGATTCCAGTTTTTTTCAATTGTTGTAAAATAAATATAAAAAGAAATGCTACTTTTGATTTTATTTATTGATGTATTTCATCATGATCCCTGGCATTATAGCTGTGTCGTACTACACGGAAGACATATTTGAGTTCTTTCTGCTTCCAGCCATGGTTGTGCTGTTTCCATAGAGGTGCAAGACTTCATATTACAGTATTACGAGTACGACGCATGCTTTTAACGTGGCTGAAACATGAGAAGTGATGCAACCTGCTGACATACATCACAGTGTTCAGCCCAAACTGTCTGACACCTCTGACTCTGCAGTGAAGGTGTGAGGCCTCAGACCACCATTTCAGTAAGCATCATTACCCCCAAATTACACACACATCGCACTGAACAACTTAGGACATATTTCAATATCTCCCATTGATTCCAGACAGGATGTATGAAAGCAACTGCGAGGTGTCTGCCCCCAGGGCCCACTTAGTACTAAGTCCAATAACTGTTAGACAGACTCTTGTCTAATGGAGAGGCTTATCAATGTGCTCGTCTGCTACAGTCTGTCTGCAAATCCCAACTCCCCCACCATGGTCCTCCTCCAGCTTCAGCTTTTTGCTTTGTACCCCTAATGAACAATCAGTGCTGGTCGCATTATTGCACATATGAGATTAATTTACTCCCCGCAATACACAGAGTGATGTTATTACAGGAAAATCAATGTCCCTCTTGTTGTTCTCTGGGGCTGGACAGGGTGTACGCACATCTGCTCTCATAATACAACTGCTGACCTTGCTGTCAGAGAGTGAGCCAGAGAGAGGCTGTGGTGAAACGGCCGACTGTGTTGTTTATCAAAGCTTTATCAAGCCTCTGTGCTCTCACAGACGTGTGACATCAGATTGTGGGTCAGCCAGGCAGCCAGGGTGCACTCCAGCTGAGAAAACGCCAGCATATGTCGACAGAGGATGATAACCTTCACAGATTAGGATTTACGCAAAGACCGGGAGTTATAAATGATCCTCTGTAGCCAGACTCGAGTAAAAAAAAAAGTTACTAATAGAAATCACCCCCCGTAAGTAAAAATACATGCTATATAACTCAAAACATGTCATTTCTATATGCCTCATACTCAGATTTTATTAACTCCCATCATCCCCATGGCACAATAGACCTCCTGACTGACCTCTTGACCCCTGGAGAGGGCAGTCCATATGAAGAGGGGGGATGGGAGCATTGGGAAAGAAGCCATTTTACCCAGTGCTCTCTTTATCCTCCCCCTTTTTTTTTTTTTTTTGCAAACTTGATGGCTAGCCAACAACGTAGATAAAGCAACTGTCATGTCAGTTTATGCCAGCCAGTGTCAACCAAAGCCATGTCAATAAAAATAACCTACAACAAGAGTCAAGCCAAGAATAACCAGACACACAAAGCCGAATGTACAATTTACTGGAGTTGTAATTGTTTTCTTTCTTTCTTTCTTTTTTTAAAACAGGAAAATCATGCAGAAAATTTAGAGGATAAAATATTTTCTTCTCTGACCTCATTATTTCATTGAACTAAAAGCAAAGGTGGATTAAAAAGCTTCTTGGCCCTTTTATGACCTCTAAAAATCCCTGATCCCCAGTTTTGGCTTTTCCTGGCACAAAATAAAATGTCTAAAAAAGCATCTATCGATCAGAAACTAATCTCATATGGCTGACAAACAAACCTATATTCAATTACAGACCAGTAATACCAATAACACATTTTCTTTTAGAAATGAGAAATTTATGGTTATTTATAGTTAGCTTAAAATGTTATTTTGTATTTGATTAGTAAATTCAGTCATTTTTTGTAATTTACTTTTTGTGTATTTGAGAAAAACAAATCTGTAAAACAAAAAGGGAAAATTCCATAAACTTATTTTCCAGTGCTGTTTTATCGAGTCTGTCATTAAACACAATTGTTTATGGGGGTTTGGATGAATTATTTTCAGTGTTTGTACTGTCCTTTGAGCTACTTTGTATTATTGTTTGTATTACAGTGTTACAAGAGTAAAGTCTCATTGATTGATTAATTGATTGATTGGATTTCCAAGGACTGTTTTTATGGGGAAAATAATACCGACAAGGACAAACTAATGTCCTCAATAAGCTGACTTTGTTCTGACTGAAGGTGGATTCAGGAGTTGCTACAGTGCAGACCCACCGCTGGGCCCAGTAACGACCTCTAAAAGTCCCCGATCCGCAGCTTTGGCTTCCCCTAGCCTGCCTGCTGTTGTCGTCTATCTCTCGGTCTGCTCTCAGCCTTTACCTGCTGCTGGAGGAAACAGATCTCCCAGACTGTGTGAGACAGACAGACAGACAGGCGGACAGACAGACCGACAGACAGACAGACAGACGAGAGACACCCCCGCATAGTTTCCGTCAGCCGGGTGACGTCTCCGCCTCTCCGCCCGTGTGCAGTGTGACGTTACGGCTCTGTAGTGGAGCCTCTAGCTGCATCTTGTTGACGGTCCGCCAGGCTTTTCCAGTACTGAGGAGACTACGGGCGAGTGAGGACGACCGACACACCGCTTTCAGGCAAGTGCTCATCGTTAAAAAACCACGAAGCCTTTAAACGGACTGTGAAACCCGGGCTGTCCGATGCTAGCGGGTCCCGGTCTGGGATTAACGGTCGAGTTTGAAGTGCTGCGCTCAGTCGCAGCCGGACGGATCGCGGCGAAGCTAACCTGCTTTAGCCTGCCGTGTCGCTCTCTATCTGGGGTTAGCCTGCCCTAGTGTTAACGCTCTCGGTCCGCTCGGTTAGCCGCTTTATCGCTCTCTGTGTTCAGCTTCCCTCTTTGATTCTGTAGAGCTTTTATCCGTCTACCAGTGGCAGCGGGCAGCGCCGTTTTGTCTGTGAGCTGGCCGAGCCGAGCCAGGTCAGGGTGCTGTACTGTGGCTCTCATCGCAGGGGGGCACCGGGTTAAGTTAGCCTGCCTTTGCTCCTGAGAGCTTGGTTAGCCTGCCTCATAGCCCACTGTGTTGGCTGGACTGCCTCATAGCCGAGTGCACGGGGGTAGCTAAGCTAGCTAGCGCAATTAATATTAAAAGATCAGACAGACTAATTTCTACACAAATACGTGAATTTCTGCTCGCTAATTTTCAACATAATCTTATTTACGGTTTTAAATAATGTCTCTCTCATATCTGTAATGTCCGATTTGAAAGTGGTTTGTCGCTGGGTGTTATCGGACAGGACGAGCCGTCTTGTCCGTGCTGGATGTGAGGGCTCGCCGCGGCTGTAAACCCCGCCGTGCCCTCACTGAGTCGGTGTGTGCGTAGCGCCTGACCGCGGTGCCTTCCCAGACCAGACGGTAGTGTAGACAGTGAATGTCATTATCAGCACTGTCTGCATACCAGCGCCAAGCCAGCGGAGGAGGCGAGGTACAGGCTGCAGACTGGAGGAGGAGGAGGAGGGGGATAGCTGGGACGGAGAGCAGCAGCAGCAGCAGCAGCAGCAGCGGCGTCATACGCGGTGTCCTTGCAGCAGAAAAAAAAAAGGATCACCAGGAGTGGGGGTGACATTAAGAAGTATGTGTAATTAATGGATGCAAGGCTAATGAGAAATAGTAGCGTGTGTCTCTTTAGCAAAGCACTGCGGGTGTTGTGATGTTTGACCGATATGGTTGGAGGTTTTGGCAGCCAAACCGGAGTCCCCCCGGCAGGCTCGGGGAGAAGGAAGGTGGTTCCCTGTAGACCCTCAGTTATTGGTCGCTGATACGATTTTGCAGTACGTATATATTTTTTTTCCTCAATCGGCCCACGGTGGGATTTGCCATTAAAACGCCCACAAACGTCAACCCGCTTCGGAGTCTAGCCCGATGTTCGCACCGCAGCATCGGTGGAAAAAACGACGGGATGCTGATTTCTTTTTTGTAAAGATAGCAAATCTATTATGTGTGGTCAATTAACCGAGTCTTTGGCGTTTTGACAAGCCGAAATTTAAATTTGGCGCACACACACACACCTACACACACACACACAGCATTTTTGCAACATCGTGAAGCAAAATGATTGAAGATGAAGCGCATTGAATGTGCCGTGTCTTGGTGTCATATTGCAGCAGTAGCCACGATCAACTACATTGCATGTTAAATTGGATTCAGCAGCTTGGTGTTGTTTACCTTATTCTGGTTAGTAAACCTGGACCAAGAGGGAAACGCTGCTTTCCACGGCGCAGTATTTCAAGCTGTGAAAGGACTGAGAAAAGGGGACGACCGCTGTTAACGCTTTTATCAATTGTTTTTCATGGAGCTGATGGGGTCAGCGTGGGGTAAGCAGACCTGGGGAAAGACACAATATGGCTGGGAAGGACACTTTCATTTGCAAAGTGAAATGTTTTTGCCCATTGTGTATCCGCCTTGCGTTAACAATGTACCGGGAGAGGGGCAGGGTGCTGGAGAATTCGCTCGCCATGTCTGGTCAACTGGTTTGGCTTGTTGAAATTCTCACTTTGCGCTGGAAAAAGTTTTCTTTCAAACCTTTGGTTGATGCAAATTTCCTCTGGGGTTCAATTACAAGGGCTGAAAAAAAAATTCTTGTGTTTGTGTGAAGTATGTTAATGGCCATTTGGTTTAGTGGTCCATGCTAACAGCCACTGGCCTCTTCAGCCCCCAGCAGGGACAGCATAAAACATTTAAAGTCCTTATGGGTATTCATACTCCACAACATTGTTAGATGGGATATTTTTTTGTTTTTGTTTGTCACTGGACAGGACAGGAATTGATTCCCTATAGTTTAGATTGTAACTAATTGTTGTTTTCCTGCTGCTTCTGTTTTCTAGGCAGTGGCTCAGAACATAGCAAACTTCAGTAACCATCATGCATGTGTCTAACTACCTGAAGATTTGTGTCATTTGAAAAGACTTAAGGAGGGAAAAAAAGACTCAGAGGAATACAAGAACTTGGTCAGCAGACAGAAACGACAATAACCCTGTGCTTAGGTATGGCCAGCACCCAGACCAGTTTGAAAACCCCTTTCAAAGACTTGACCTCATTCAAGGGAAACATGAAGCGGCTGTACAGAGAGCGACTGGAAGATGCACCCATCAAGAAACGAGTGATCGCGGAGATCAACCTAAAGCGTCGCAGCTTGGATTCCCTCCCCAAAACTCCCAAGGTAAAGAGGGAGCAGCCTGAGGATCTCCGCCACGAATCTGACATGGATGTGGAGGGCCGGGCTGAACTGCACGTGATGGGCTCTGCTAAAGCCCTGGACTTGAGCCCTGGACTCAAACACACACTGGCCCAATTCACCCTCAGCAGCCAGAGCTCCCTCGGGGGCCCGGCTGCCTTCTCAGCCCGCACAGGCCACGAGCATTCCCCTGCCGGCATGCCCCCCCTGCCCTCCCCTCCTGTTTTGGGAGGGGGCCCTCTGCTGGTTCCCTGTGACAGCTCCACTGAACTCACCCACTCTCTGCTGGAAGGGGAGTCCATCTCCTGCTTTGTTGTTGGGGGTGAGAAGCGGCTCTGCCTGCCCCAGGTGCTCAACTCTGTGCTCCGTGACTTTTCGCTGCAGCAGATCAACACTGTGTGCGACGAGCTCTACGTCTACTGCTCACGTTGTGATGCTGAGCAGCTGCACATCCTCAAGGTGCTGGGCATTCTGCCGTTCAACGCACCTTCCTGTGGCCTCATTACACTGACGGATGCACAACGGCTGTGCAATGCTCTGCTGCGTCCTGGGGCAGCCTTGCCAGCCGACCCCAGTGGTAAGCTGTCGGCCCAGGGCCTGCTGAAGGAGAGCGAAGCCACCTTCCAGGTGGAGCACCAGTGTCTGGGGAAGTGCCATGGTCTCTTTGTGCCCCAGTTCTACACCCAGCCTGAGGCGCCATGCATCCAGTGTGTTGAGTGCCAGTTGCTCTTTTCACCACAGAAGTTTGTCATGCATTCACACAAGTCACCTGATAAGAGGACCTGCCACTGGGGCTTTGACTCAGCCAAGTGGCCCTGCTACCTGCAGCTTGCCAGGAAGTACCAGGGGACCCCTGAGGAGCCCAAGCTCAAGCAGCTGCTGGACGAGGTCAAAGAGAAGTTCCACTACCAACTCAAGAGGTCGCTAGACAAAGTAAGTGCACTTCTTATGACACCTGTGTTAGCTGAGTGTGTGCTTGCTTGTTTGCATGTAATCTAATCTCATTCATCATCATTCTGCTATTAAGCCAAGTAAAACTTTTATTATGTTGAAGAATGGGCTTTTAAAGTCACCGTAGCTGGCTGACTAGCTTCCAGTGTCAGGTTTTGTGTATTCGGCAGGTTTGATTAGACTACCTTACAGCTGGTGTTTTCTTAAACCAGCGTTGACCTAGTGTGTGTGTCTGAGGCCTGAGACAGGTGGTGACATCTGCCCGGCCAGGTCTGATCAGACGAGGTTAGACCAGCTGGCCACAGCTGAAGGGGAAGTGCATCGTTTGTCCTCTTAGGTCACCTGGAGGTCAGTGGGAATGTCACTGAACAAAAGGCCAATATAAGAGGCTCAGGAAAAGACTGTTAGAAGAACATTGCAACAGTTGCTTCTTATTCCTTTTAATTCACAAATAAAAAATGTTTTGTAGTTTGCCAAGGGATAAGCAGAATTTGTCTTTCTGCACATTCCTACACAGCTAGTGCTATCCAAAACTCAAGACATTTTTGGCAGGTAAGACATTATTTTATAGATCCTGTGAAGAGTTGCTTAGCAACTTGAACAAAGTAGAGGTGCTTCTTAAAATAAGAAAATGTCTAGATGTAGCCCAAGCCACGGTGCCAGGTCTGGAACATAGACAGTGTTAGTGACCATTTTACCTGTAGGCAAGGCAAACCTGAAATTGAAATTACTTCATTCTTTTGCAGCTAGTTATCACTGAAGGTCAGAATGCTACAGTCTTCCAAAGAGGATGATTTTGCTGATTCTTATAATTCCTGCTATGTGAAAAAAAAAAATCATGCAATATGAAAGCCACAAGGACATCAGGCCTATTGAAAAGTCAGCATTCAGAAGGGGAAAGGCCTGAGATTGTTTCCCTGCTATTAACTGGTTTTTATGTCTCGTGACCTCACTGTGACCGCAGTGGACCGCCCTTTTTGCATTGTTTTCTGGGTGAAGGTGGGGTTGTGTTTTTGTCTGTTTGGTGTGGCTTGTTCACATGCGGAACCCCAAGTGCAGATAGATTTTTGGTGAAGTTAATAAAAAAAAATCAAAAGAATAAGTACTGCATTGCAACAACTCTTGATGTCGAGAATTTTTTGTCTTTATCCATAACCTGGTAGGTGGTTACGTGTAAGACTGAATACACAGTCCTGCCTCTGTACTCCACAGAATGTCTGCACGAGTGAGAGTGAACATTTTTAAAACACAAGACACACACATAACTGTTGATGTATGTTAGAAAGGGAAATGATTTGCTTTTCCTCTGTCTGGTTAACTTGGTGTGTGAATGCACCGGAAATACTGTTGGTTGTCTCATCCAGCGTCCTGACCGCATTCCTTTCCGACAGTCCTCCTTGTCTTCCTTTGCTTTGGTTTGCATTTTAGAAGACATAGACATTCTTTCTCAAAGGCACAGACATTTTATTACCAGAGGACACACACACACACAGACACAGACAACACATGTAACAAAACATGCGTAATGTCAAGGCGGATGATGAGTCCTATAGTCCCTGTTGAGAAGGTGTATTTTAATGTGTGAGACATTGGTGCTCTGTGTGTGTGTGTGTGTGTGTGTGTGTGTGTGTGTGTAATGAGCTGCTAACTGGAGGTTAGTGTGACACATCTTTGTCTCTCTCTGTCTCACACTTTGCCAAGCTCTCTGGAGCCTCTGTCTCACCACAGTTTCAGGTGCTGTCTTTTTGCTGTGGGCTGATTTCTCAGTCTGTGTTTTTTTTTTCTTTCCATTCTGTTGTTATTTCTTTTGTATCTTGGTGATAGTGACTAGATTTTACCTAGTTCTGCTATTTGTAAGGCTTTGGCTGCGTTATAAGTGGTGTTGTCAAGTCAATTGTGGCAGTGAAATTTTATGTAACAGCTAAATTTGTGTAGACAGACCCACACAAAGTCACAAATGGCCAAATTCCTGGAAAGATAATTGCATGGGAGTCTACAGGAAGCAGGTGATTTTGACACCACAAGAGGATGCCACTTCACCCCCCTCCTGAGCGGATGTACGGGTGTGTGAAAGGTCAGTGGCCAGAGAACAAGGTGACGTCGCAGTGTCCCGCTTCACTCAGTAAGGACCCAGGGGTTCCCCTCCAAGTCCAACCACTCTCAGTTTGTGTATTTGTGTAATGAAAGTGTGTGTTTGACTGAACGGGAAGTGAGGCAGACGGATGTGTCTCTCACCCTGAACATCCTCCAGATTCTCAGTGTCCAGCCGCCTCCACTGCACTGGCTGTGTGACTCATACTTTCCGCATCCCTGTGGATGTTAGTGGAAGGCCAGCCAGGCAGCTTATAGTCACACATGCTTTTTAGAAAGATTGCTCGCCTCTGTGTGTTAGTCTAACCCCGAACGCAGACCGTTTTCCCAATGGCCCTTATTTACACACAGTGTCAATGTGCACATTTACAAGCAGTTCATAGTTTTACCAGAGCGCTCTGGGACCTCCTACAAGAGAAGAGACACAAACAAGGGGAGCCTTCTGGAAGTTTTTTTTCCCACTTTCTCCAATGGCTACTCGTCCCATATCCTGTTAGGAGTGTTTGGTTTGAGAAGGTGCAGTTAAAAACTCCAGGCCTTGCTCTCCATAAACGGCGCTTTGTGCCTAGAGGCACTGCTACCCTGTCTACTGATCCCTGCTGTGTAAATAGAGTTTGCTAGACAGACGCCACCAACAGACAGCAAAAAGTTGAAGCCTTTGCACAGGAGTTACTTTGGTTTTCAACTGACAATGAGTTCATTTTGCCTTTAGGAGTTGTGACAGATGCTTTTACTTTAGACTGAGACAAAATGTGTTGTCAGTTTTTTTCTGACAAGACAGGAAGCAACAGAAACGTAGATTTGACGATCAGAACCACCACTTTGTGAAATTACGTTTCATGTCATCAGACTGTTTTAGCAAAGCAGTTTATTACAAAACACATCACCAGAAAAAGATAGTACTTTAAGATGCAGTTTTTAGAGTTTAAAATGTAAACAAATATATACAACTCTACAGACTTTTGTGTTATTATTTGGTTTGTTTAACAATCTTAAAATTGTATTAAATTATAAATATAAGCAAGACAAAATGTGTGTCAAACTGCTGTTTCAAAGGCAGGAAAACTATAAGGTGATTTTTCTAGGCATGTTTCTGAACCCTAGCAAACACAACTCCACCATAGCCAGCATAGCTGTATGTTCCTTATTTGCCTCAGCCTTGTTTGTAGCATTGGGCTGGCCCAGAGTCAGAAGTGTCAGACGGAGAGAACAGCCTTCCTCTGTCTGTCTCCCTGGCCGGGCTGACACAGTGGCTGCGGCACAGACGGCAGACAGCTGCATCTCTCTGGCTTCCTCTATTTGCTATTTCGAAACCAGTGACTTCATTACCACAGACCAGTGCAGCTGCACTCTCTGGCTGTCTCCTGTGCTGTCTGCTCTGTGAGTCTGTCTGCTTGTCACTCATTCTCTTGGGCTGTATCTAATTGGATTCTGGCGAGCACGCTAATCGTTCACCGTGCTGCCGTTGCTGTGTCTTCCTCCTTCATCTACCTCTTCTTTTGTCTTGCTGTCCATCTTCAATCTGCCTGCTTCTCTTGGGTTCATGCCCTCACACATCTTGACTTATGACCCTCAGTCTGGTCCTCACACTGCCATCCTTTGCTCACCATTATTCCCTTCATCTACCCATACAATTCTGCTGTTGCCCACATGTATCTGTAAGCACTCAGTGCCCCCCAGGCCCCAATCAGTGAACAGTAACAAAGTAAGCAGCCAAATGACCCGATAAGTCGATCGTTACATAAGCAATAAGACCACTTGTGTGTGTCTGCGAGGCGGATGAGAGGAAAGGCCAGTGGCTATTGATTGGGTCTCCGACCTTGATGGATGTGGCGAGTTGCCGGTTGACACGGACACTGAATAGAGGAGGAGACAGACCAAGAGGGAGGAAGGAGGATGTCGAAGAAAAGTGAAAAGAGAAGAGTCAGTTACATGGGCCGCAGCCGGTGTTACATAAATTCCTGTCTGTGTTCAGACATGTTCACAAGTCTCCTAAGTTAACCTCACCTCTGCTTGTGCTGTCGCCTGCATTCATTTTTGTAACTCAGACAAGCTGAAGTAGTGTCGGGTTGACACAAACAGGGTGTCTGTGGTCAGAAAACATTCCATCCCTGGGGGAGGCACTTGAGCAGATGAGGAAAAGGTGGAGAAAAGAAGTAAAGATGAGAGGGTAAGGCCGATACAGGGGGGTCTGAATTCTGTGTCAGCCACAAATTGCTCCACACTTTGGTTGTCTTCCATGAAACAGGACTTGTCCACAGCCATTAGCTTGTTACAAGGGGCTTGGGCCTCCGCTTTCCTTTCCCCAAGTTGAAAATTAACCTCCCCAAGACCTGAGTTGAACCACAAATCTAGCCCGTAACAGCCCTCTTGGCTGGCCAATCACACAGCTTGTATATCCCCAGCTAACACTCTCTTTTTTTGCCCCCACCCCAACCCAAGACACCCATACGCATATCTCTGTGTCTGTCTGGGCATTTTCCAAAGAACAATTACTCACTTATACTGAATACACAGCCATTTCTTAGAATGCTGGCCCAGAGTAACCTAGAGTGTATCACGCCTGTATGTAGTTGGGTGTGGGAGACGGTCTGTGTTCCCTGTGCACAACAAGCTGTGCCTTGGCCAGTGTTTGCTGCCTGTTGTAAAAGACTAAATGGGGCCCCACGAGTAGGAGGGGCTGAGTCGAGGGGCCTCTGGTATGTCACCATCAGGTCAGTGCCAGTATCACAGCTTCATAACAGCATTGCAGCGCACTGGAGGAACGCCAAAGTCATTACTTCTCAGTCTTTTTCTAAAATATACAAGGATATTTTCAAGTTTTGACTTTCACACAGTTCAAGGCTTCGGCCACATTTTATTTCATCACTTAGAATAGTTGTGTACTAATT